GAGAGAGAGAGAGAGAGAGAGAGAGAGAGAGAGAGAGAGAGAGAGAGAGAGAAAGCAGGTTCCTACCAAGAGCAGAGGTGTCAGATGCCTGAGTTATGGATAGTTGTGAGCACTGGATGTGGGTGGTGGAACCATAATTTATGTTCTCTGCAAAAGCAGCATTGAGTCGTTTCTCCAGCCCTGAAGTTTTATTTCTTTCTTTAAATTTAAAGTAAAGTAAATAATTATATATGACAGTGGCTACCACACTGAACAGGCTAAATCTATAAAACAAAACAAAGGAAGGCAACAAGAACCTAGGATTTCTAATTTCACAAAGCCTAGGCTGTAGTCTACATCTACCTGTCTGGTACCAGGAGCACTGAAAAATCATCCTCTCTGCCCAGGAGAACTAAACATATGATACTGTCTGTGGGAGTGATGGCGTCCTATCCGGCGTGTGTGCATCTTCCCCTTTACAGAACGCTGCACATCTTACTGGAAAAAGCAGCATTTTCAGTCTAGCATTTCAAGGATTCAAGTTGCACAGACAAGTACTGTTGTTATGACCAGCTTCTGAGAATCAATGTTCCTGAGAAAACGCCTTGGACTGCCAACCCAGCGTGTGGTGTTCTCTCCCTATTTTTATTACATCTCTTGTTGAGGATGCCAAGACCCTTGAAAGGAGGGAAGTGAGAGACGATGCATCCACCCTAGATGGCTACTATTGTCTAAAGGGCAACTAACTACTCATCCCATTCCACAAAGAAGGCAAGAGAAGCTCAGATCGAGTTAGTCTGGGTTGCTCTCTGTCCACGCCTCTGCCACCCAACCTCCCCTGGAGCAAACGGGATGCTCTCTTCAGAAGCAGACTCAGGAGAGGATCTGGGCTTGCATCCCAGAATCACAGGATAGCACAAAAGGCTCCTGACAAACTGGTGGAGGCAAAGGACATAGAGCCTACTGTCTAAATGAGGAGACTTGGCATGGTGACAGTGCAGAGCCTGTCTGAAGTCACACTGCTGGGTAACAGGATGGCAGCAACTCAGTGTCTGTCTTCTTCTGTTTAGGGTTTCACAGTCCAACAACCCAGCCATGCTGAAGGTTGAGCATCTTCTAAGGGGAGCCCTCTACATACTGCTGGCCATGTTAAGGATGGCTCCCTACTCCAAACATAATCTCTGGAACACAGTTGGTCAAACCAGCTTATAACTATTAGAGAGGGTTGATATGGGAATGAAAGAGTCAAGAAGCTCCATCTACAGAGAGGTACCCTGCCTCCAAAGAACAAACACAAGCCACCTGAGCCTCCCTAGGCGACACTAGCTTTCTCCCCCACTTCTGCCTCTCAGCATCATGATCCATCAATCTAGGGGCAGAGAACAAAACAAAACAGTTTTGCCTTCATGGAGCTTCCATGCCAGAGAAGAGACGAACAACAAACAAGTAAGCAGCACTGGACACAGCATGGAGTGTCACCAAGGAAAAGTAAAACGGGGGAGGATCTGAAGGACAGTGTGAAGTTAGTTAGAATGCGCTTCTCTTGGATCCCATTTTCAGATAAAGAGCACTTCAGCAGGATTTAAGTGGTCCTGATAATCTGGAACTTCACTGGTTTTCTGTTCAGATGAAGAGAAGGCTAAGGACTCAGTTAAGTTTTCACTTTTAACAAGAGAATTGTGAGGAAAAAGATGGAAAGAAATTTTAAAATACTTCAACCTTTCAATGAATATATATAGATTCTGATGAGTTTTGGAGGGAGGACTATAAAAATTGCGTGAGACAATTTGAGCACTACTGGATATGTGGCCATAGTAAGAGACTGGTTTTTACAATATGTGTGTGTGTTACATCGCATTCCTATGCTCATGCACACAGAGCCCAGAAAGAGGACGCTGGGTGTCACTCTCTATCAGGCCCCACGTTATTCCCTCAGATCCTGGGACAAGGTCTCTCACAGAACCTGGAGTTTATAGGTTTTTTGCACCTAGACTAACAACCATCTGGCAAGTCCCAGTAATGCTCCTGTTTCTGCCATCCCCTATCACGGCCCAGCACTGGGCTTACAGGCACCTACAGCCACACCTGGCTTATCCAACCTTTCATAGCAAGTGCTCTTACCCAACTCCCCACACCCAGCCATCTCCCCAGCCCAGTAATTGTCCACGATTCTTCCCCAGTGCTGAAGGCTGAATCTAGGTTCTTAAGAATGCTGGACGAGTGTTCCACCACTGAGATACCCAGTCCTTGGCTTTAGTTTCTCACAGCTGTAATAATGATATGTCAAGACTGTAGGAGCATATATATCTGAGGTGCACATTCTTTTTAAGCAAAAGATTTGTATCTTCGGGTTTGGGAGATTTTCTTGTATTATCTCTTCTTAATTTCCTTCCCTTGGTTATCCCTTGGTTCCCCAGAGGATGCTGAGCCTTGAGATGAGTGCTCACTGTGACTCACTCGCTCACCTTCTGTCCCAGTTTTGACATATTTGCAGTTGAGTTTTACTCTCCAACTATCTGGTCTTGCTTTCTAAGATTTCCTCAACCACATTTTCCAACTTTATAAATTTTATTTAACAAATCACATGCTTTTTTAATTAACTAAGTTTTATGTGTATGGATGCTTTGCCTGTGCCCCACACGAGTGCCTGCTGCCTGAGGAGACCACAAGTGGATTCCTGGGACTGGATCTACAAACAATTCTAAGAAGTCATGTGCGTGCTGGGAATTGAACCTGGATCCTTTGGAAGAGAAGCCAGTGCTCTTAACCACTGAGTCATCTCTTCAGCCCCAACAAATCAGGTTTTTAATTCCCAAAGTTAGTTAACTCCTTCTCCCACATCATCTCATTCCTCAGTAAGAGAACACTGATTGAAAATTTCTTCTGATCTTTTCTTCCACTTAATTCCCACCCTCTGTTTACCACACGCTCTACCTATATGTCTGTGGCGTCAGTCTTCCCGACCACAGAGATGGACAGATAACACATGCACTTGACACTGCACAGAGAGCAAGCCAGTTTACCTTCATGGAGTCTGAGTACAGAATGTATTCCCTGAGCACTGGTAGAAAGTCCTCTGTTACATCATCGGTCAGCTCTTCCAAGGCCGTGGAGCAGTTCCCAATGCAGGCCGACACACCTTCCAGGGGCTCCGCCAGTTCACCTTCCAAGGCGCTCCACGTGGAATACACAGGCCCATATTCCCTCAGCTCTACGAGGTACTCTATAGGAAGAAAAGCCACTTGGAATCTGGCTGGGGAACTCTCGGTGTATGACTGAGTTAGGAATTGGGTGCACAGCCTTGGCTGTTCTCTTTCCTGGGCATGCCTTCCTTTAAGTGTAATACATTCCTAATAATGTTTTTAATTTCTCAAAGCTATTGCAAATTACTAACATCCAAACATCTAGGATTCTTGTTAACAGGAACCAAAATGCCCTATATGGGAAAGTGGCTAAGAGCAAACCCAGAGAACTTTGAAAACAATCACCTCTTCCCATGCTGCAAGTGCAACATCTTACAAAGCAATGTGGGAGACTTTCATAAAGGTATAGAGGGCCTCGGATCCCCTGGAACTGGGAGTTACACGTGGTTGTGAGTCCACAGGTGCTAGAACTGAATCCAGGTCCTCTGCAAGAGCAACAGTGCTCTTAATCTGAGTCATGTCTTTAGTTCCCAGCAGTGGGATCTTTTTAAAAGAAAAAAAAAAATCAGTCACAATGGAGAAACAACAGGATTATGGGGAACACACTCTGCTGGAAGAGATGTGGTCTTATACAGGCAGATGCAGCCTGCCACCCAACAGTCCTATCAGTGGTTCCAGGGAAGAAGAAAAAAATTATTTTTCACCCCTACAGGGTAAATCTGGCCCTTCATTTGTCACCAGGATTCTTGCCATTTTTGGCAAAATGTGGTTGCTGTGTTTAACTATTAGGAAATGATAGTAACTGACGTGTTTTAAAAGGCCTGCGTGACATGTTCATTTGTTCTGGTATGTCTGGCCTATACCTGTGTGAGGGGACAAACTGCCCCACTGTTACTGGGCTGTTGCTAATCAGGTGACCCTGACAGGAGAAGGGTAGACAAGCAGTGGCGGTGATAAGGACAGACAGACTTTGGCTCAGAAGAGGGTGTGAAGTGAAGCAGGGCATGGTGAAGGAGTAGATTCCAAGTTCAAAAGTTTACTCCCTCTTTGTGTTTGGATTTTAAGCAGAACAAGGCCTGGTTCTGCCACTGCAGCATTTCTGCAGGCTGCTTCAGCCCGGTATATATACACGCCATCCCCACCACTCTGGGCACCACTAGTCTCAACAAAGAGCTCACCTATTTCTTCTTTGATGATCCGCTGGGCTATCCGATCAATGGTTCCCAGTTTGAGTGCAAAAGTATCTAAGTAGTCACCGATGGCTGCAAACTCCAGAGGCCGACTCCTCAGCTTATAGCCTCCCGTGACATGTTTGACTGACTCTCCCACTCGGCTCAGCAATGCCATCCCCTGCTTCTTGTAGGCATTCAGGTCCTGCAGATGACAAAGTACCATCTTGGTCACACGGCCAGGTCTAAGGAAAGAGCTCCTGAAGCCCTAGAAAGCAGGGCTGTTAGGGCCGCATACACATGATAGCCCCACTGTGGGAACTCTTCTCATTGGGAGGCCAGATAAACATCTATCTACTCTTGTAGGGCAAACCAAAGTACAGTCTAAAGTTTAAAGTGAGGAGTCAGGGACTTAACTGACCTTACTTACAGAGTACAGGTGAGGGATTATAACCATCTTGTGGTGTCTCACCCCAGTATGGATGAGGACATACCCATACGGGTGGCTGAGATGAAGTGCCCCGTCACACACATGCTTGGCCTCCTTTGATGGACATCAGCAGTCACCAGGCCCCACTCTTGAGACTCTTGCAAAAAGTCACAACTACTCTGATACGATGGCAGCTTGGGGAACAGCACTCTACAACAGATCCCCAGACTCACACCCATATGTCAATATGGTGGGGCCCTAGATCCTCTAGTCAAATCTACATCCTGTCTTTACTACATCCTGTTTTTAAACGCAACACTCTTTCTAACACAACTTTTGTAAAATCTCTGGTAAAAATGCCCCATGCTGTCTTAGCACAAAATTAAATGCCCAAAGATTTGTTCCATTCACACACTCAGATGCAATTAGAGCCACATAAGAAAGGTGGAGGGAAGAAGGTAGGGCGCTGAGAAGAAACAACAGAAGCGCTGCTAGAAAACTAAGCTGAGGTGTCATTGCAAACAAACTTTAAACTCCAAATTTCCTGTGAGTCAACAATAGTGGAAATGGGTTGGGCTTTTAAACCTCTTGTATCCAATACTGTATCTTTAAAAAGATACCCTGCGCAGCATAGTGGCGCATGTTTGTGGTCCCATTACTCAGGAGGCAGAGGCAGGTGGATATCTGAGTTCAAGACCAGTTTAGTCTATATAGTAAGACCCTGACCCCCAAACCAACCAACCAACCAACCAACCAACCAACCAACCAACCAACCAACCAAAAAGCTCTTAGATCTGAGCTGGTGGTGCGTGCCCATCATTCCAGCACTTGGGAGGCTAAGGGAAGAGGATCAGGAGTTCGAGCTATCATGGGCTACAAATTGAAACCCTATCATGGTCACTGCTCCATTGCTGTGAAGAGACACCATGACTAAGGCAACTCTTATAAAAGAAAGCATTTAATTGGAGCCTGCTTACAATTTCTGAGGTTTACTCCATTGTCATCATAGCAGGGAACATGGTGGTATGCATGGTGCTAGAAAAGTAGCTGAGAGCTACATCCTGATCCACTGGCAGAGAGAGGGAGAGGAGAGGAGGGGAGTGGAGGGGACAGGAGGGATGGGAAGGGAAGGGGAAGACAGGAGAGAAATCCTGATGAAATCCTGATTTATTGGGCAGGGCGGGTCAAACAGACTGACAAACACTGGACCTGGTGTGGGCTTTTGAAATCTCAAGCCCACCTCCAGAGACACACCTTCCCTAACAAGGCCACACCTCCTGATCCTTCTCACTCTCTGATGACTAAGCATTCAAATACAGGAACTCTGTGGGCCACTCTTATTCAAACCACCACAGACCCCATCTCAAAACTGTAACAAACTGGAAATGTAAGTGGCTATTTGGTGTGTTTAGTTCGGCAAATGACACTAAAATGGGCTTGCAGTTTGTTTTGTTTTGGTTCTGGCTTTCTTCTCTGTTTCTTCAGTAGGGGCTCATGTACCCAAGGCTGGCCTATGTAACTGAGGATGACCCTGTCCCAGTCCTCTGCTTCTACCTCCCAAGTGCTGGGATTAAAAGTGTACATCACACCAAGTCCAGGCAGAACTCTGTGGTTAAGGGTTGCTCTCCTGCACTCACTTACATGGGTCAGGATTTCGATGGAGACATTGAAGGACTGTATTATAAATCTTAAAAAACCTTTGTCACACTTATTAGCCCAGAAATCTTAGTTCATCTCTCTCCAAGACAAAATTTACCACTCATTCTTCACACAGATTCCCAAGGAACAGGAATCAAAGTCACAACCCTCCCATACTACATTCAGTAATGAGGACAGCCTGGGTCTTCTGGACAAAGAACCTACACCCTGAGAACTGACATGCACTTTGGGAGAACAAGAAACTTGAAGAACCACACCTAAGTATTAGTATACTGAGAAATGCGTACATCAAACATATTCAGTCTGTAGGGGGAGCTATTGTATGAGCTGCCATCCATGGAAGTTAAAAACAAAAGCTTAGAGGACTTTGCCAGATAGTTTCTGTGAGTGGAGAACAGAATCTTCCAGAAGCCTTAAATTTTTGCAGTTGCCATCTGCACACATGCCTCTGTAATTTTAACAGTGTGAAACGGACAGTACTTAGACTTCGATACCCTTGTCATTAGAGCATTCTATATATGGCTTGAATACAGGAATCTGAAGCTAAATGGGTTGGCTAGGGAGAGTCTGAGCATGTGACACATTTCTGCATAGTAAGATTTCAGGTAAGTTCTGCCCACAGCAAGCAAAGCACAAGGCCAGTTGAACAAGCACCTTGAGTTTGAACAGTCTCTAGCAACAGGCTGGAAACAACTACTTTTTTGGCAAATGATTGGAAAACACACCTAAGAAGAACATTGCTGTCGGCAAGCAATGGCCAGGCCTTGTGGTACAGATGAGGGAATCAGGCCTTAAGAGCCACAGGACCCAGTTTCAAGTCCTAATGATGCCAAATGAACAAATTGAATCCCTCTGAACTTCAGTTCCCTCGTCTGAGAAATGAAGCTACAGTTATTTACGGGGCTCTTGAGGGGGCCCGAAGGTATCAAGGCAGGGAAGAGGTGAGAAAGAAAACTCGGCTCAGATTAACTTTGTCAATCTGGATCAGACCTGGGAAGTCTGATGCCAGGTGGTGTAACATGAAGGGGCCTGCTTGTTGGGGTTTATGTCCTTCCCAGTTCCCCACAGCTGGCAAGCCCCAAAGAAAATCACACAGAGATCTCCATAAGTTTTATAAAACTGATTGGCCCATTAGCTCAGGCTACTTATTAGCTCTTGTAGCTAATATTAACCCATTATTTTTATCTATGTCAGCCACATGGCTCGGTACCTTTCTCAGCTGGGCAGGTTACATCATGCTTCTTCAGTGATCTGGGCAGAACTGCAGGAATGGGCTTCCTCCTTCCTAGCATTCTCCTGTTCTCATCGCCCTGCCTCTACTTCCTGTTTGGTTGACCTGCCTATACTTCCTGCCTAGCCAATCAGTGTTTATTTAAAACATGATTGACAGAATACCGTATTGCAATGTACATTATACATTGTTTACATTTGAAAGTCATTGTTCTTATTTATTGCACAGTTGTTTATTGTCATAGTCTTTAAGTCAGATAGGTATTGAGAATTATAGATCAATAGTCATCTATGTTTGTCATATTTATATTTAGGCTAATCAAGTTCTTTAGATACATGGAGATTATATTCAGTATATATAGATAGTCTTCAACTTCTTCAAAGAGCTGTAGAAAATGGCCTTTAATCTAACTTAGAGTTCCGTGGTAGTGAGACACAATCACTCTGGGCAACACCGATCTATTCCCGAGAGAATGTTGAGCACCAAAGACACTCCACTTGGAGCCTTTCTTCTTGGCAGAACTGGCCTTTGGGCAAAGAAATGCCCATACCTCAACCACCAACAGAGATACAGAGTATCCGTAAATGGATAAAACAGGACTGTCATATCCTGCCAAGACAGGTAAGACAGTTTTGAAGTTTCTTGCCTTTGAAAATGGTATGTCAGTTACGTTAGGCCTTAGCCAAAGTTGGTTGCCTCAACATTACAAATGAGACTTTGGGTGATTGCCCAGTTAGTAGTCAGTTGTCTCTGTCATTTGTTGTACATTTTGGAAGTTTCTCAATTGTACTTCCTGTTTACTCAAGTAATATTACTTCCCTTCTCAGATCTTTGATGGAGTTGAAGATTAATGAGATAATTAGATAATTATACAATTAGATAATTGTAGTTACCCTCCTCATGATTTAGCTAAACTTAATTTCAATACATTATTTAGACTCCTTGAAATAGAATGCTTAGTAAATGCTTTTGTTATACATTTCTTGCTTGATATTGTTTACTGTTTGTAATTTTATATTTGGTATCTGTTCCTACTGTATATAGTTGCATTGGGTTTGGATCGATCTTGTTTAGACAAAAGGGGGAGATGATGGAAGCTCAACCAATCACATCTGGTTAGAGTGTGGCCGCCTGGAGCCCAGGTAGAAAAACCGGGAGATGCAAGTGCGTGCTCTCTCTGCGCAGTGCCCGCCGGACCTACCGGATTTCGGAACTCCCATTCTTATAGTGTAAGTTTCCCCTCTTTAACCATTAAAGTATTCCTGTTACTCTTGAGCTAGCCTGGTTACTTGTTGTAATGACCTAATTAACCAGCAAGGTGGTTTGCTGTCAGCATATGTAAAACACAGTATAATTTGGGAAAAAGTTTCCAGGCAACAATCATTCCAATTCCAGGTGCACAATAAAGCTTAAGATGTGACTACATAGAAACTCCTTTGCCAAGTACATGAGACCATGAGGGCTGGTTCTACAGCTAAAAGGCCTAGAATCTATTGTGGTCTCTGACCAAGATAGCATAGAGGCCATAAAGTAAATGTGACATCTCCCCTAAGGATGGGTTCTATTAACTGAGAGCTAAAGATAATGTTCTAGGAAGGGAAGTGTCTGGGATAAACATTTTGGGTGATTTGAGTGAGGTCTGCCTTTATAGCAAAAGGTAGGTGTGGTAGTTTGAATGTAATTGGTTCCCATAATCTCACATGGAGAGGTACTATTAGGTGTGGTTTGTTAGAATGGATGCAGTCTTGTTGGAGGAAGTGTGTCACTGCGGGGGCATGTTTTGGGATTTCCTATGCTCAAGATACCCAATATCTCAATCAACTTTCCATTGCCTGCAAGATATGGGACTCTCAGCTCCAGAACTGCCTGCATGCCACCACACTCCCCATCTGGACTGAACCCCTGACACTGTAAGTGAGCTACCCCCAAATAAATGTTTTCATTTATAAGAGTTGCTATGGTCATGGTGTCTTTTCATAGCAACAGAAACCTTAAGACAGTGGGTGAGATCTGCCTCCATAGATAGTAAAACGGTCACCAGGTTGTTAACAACCTGTGTCCACGCTCAGGTAATTCTTCCATTGAGAAGAAGCCTCTGCATGTTTAACATTCCTGGTTCCCTAGTGCTCTATGGGCACAAGGACCTTTGTGTGTAAAACACAAGGTTCTTATGGAGAATAACTTTATAATGAGTTATTTTGAGTGTGTGTGTGTGCATGTGTACGTTGGTATGTGGATGGCATGCGGAGGTCAGAGGGTAACCCTGTGGAGCTGGGTCTTTCCATGCTTATGTGGGTCCTGGAAAGAAGATTTGGCTCCTGAGGCTTCTGTGGCCAATACTTGACCCACTGAACCATCTTGCCAGCCCTGAAGAACACTCTTACCAAAGCTCAGTATCCTTTAGCTTTTGTACCTATTCTTGGTAAGCCTCACCTACTAACACTGCCAAGAAGCATTTACAGGACACTTCTGTTTTTGGCAAGTAAAAATACCGACTTCCATTGCTAAGACAAAGGGGCAGCCTGTCCTCCTCTTGGATTCTAAAACAGAGAGCATGCTAATGCCGTGGGCACCCAAAGTCGGGGATCTTATGATGCCCACCTCAGGGCACCACTCAGGGAAGTGGCTCGTGAAAGAGCAAAGTGGTGGTTTGAGAAGGAGCCCAATAATAATCATTTACAGAGACATACACAAAATTCTGCCCATACCTTAGCAGTGAGGAATACATTGAAGTGTTCATTGAAAGAGAGCACAGGGTGATCTGTAATTCTTTTTAGGAATTTATCCAAAGCTTTTCTTCTGGTCTCCACAAACTCTTCTGAGAAACGATCCACGACCCCTTTCACCACAAACTTCTCAGGAAGCGGCTGAGATGGAGAGAAATGGAGCAGTCAAGATGGGTCAAGAAAAACTCCCCAGGCTAATAAATATCTACTGCCTATCTGTTCAAGCTGTTGCTTATTTTTGTCTTCCTTCCTTCCTTCCTTCCTTTCTTTTCTTTTCTTTTTTTTTTTTTTTTTGAGATAAGATCTCATGTAGTCCAGCCTGGTATCAAGCTCACTTTGTATCTGCAGATGACCTTGAACTCTTTCCTCAGGACTCCAACTTCATACTGAGATTACAGGTATATCCTACCATATCATTTTATGCCAAGCACTTTACCAACTACACTGTATTTCTAGCCTAAGAATAGTAGTTCTTAATCTGTTAGATCTTTTTCTCCCCAAAACAGGGTTTCTCTGTGTAGTCTTGGCTGTGCTGGAACTCACTCTGTAAACCAGGCTGGCCTTGAACTCAGAGGTATGTGCTTTCTCCTAGTGTTAGACTTTATATTATCATCAACACAAAGATTTTTTGGGAAACACAGATGTAGCAAGTCCAACTGTCCTGTCAGTTTGATACGCACAGAACAAACCACTATAGCACAGCCCCTGAACTACTGAGAAGTCAACATCTTTCCAGAAAATACAGCTAGACTGTCTTTAAATATGCATATTAGTTATAAAAAGAAAGATGGAAGACAAAGTCTAAGACCTGAAAGCAAAGGCTGGGGAGACAGCCTAGCTGGTAAAACACCTGATATGCAAGCTCAAGTCCCAGAACCCATGTTTAAAGTAAGAGCCAGGTATAATGGTGTGTGCTCATGACGAGGCTGTAGAGACTGGTAGGTGGCACCTGAAGGGGCTGGGCAGTCAGTCTATTCAGTGAGCTCCTGGACTGTGGAAGACTCCATGTCCAAAATAAAATAAAATAAAATAAAGAACATGAAAAGAAAAGAAAGGGCAGACAATGCCAGAGGAACAACACCCAAAGCAGGCCTCCATACATACCTGTACACACCAGACACACACACATGAACCTACACTACCAACATATGCATACACATACACACACAGACACACTAAGGAAGGGGGCAGACAACATCAAGCACAAACATCAAGCACAAAAATTTATTAAAATAGCTTAAGATTCTGTTCCCTGTTCAAATGCAGAAATAAGGAAGTGGGCAAACTCACACAGTTTAAGATGGTCTTTATTTTCCTTTTAGGTTTGTTATTGAAATGTAACTTTCCTTACTTCTCTCATTCAAATTTTTCTATCATAAATATTTGAGCCAATACTGTTGAACTATTTAAACTAGTTGCTCTTCCAGGGACCTTTGAGCTTTATTTATTTCCTTGGTAGCTTGCTCAGATGAGCGACTAAATATGTCTATCTTACTGCCTCCCAGAGGAAAAGTGACTGTTATGTACAGTTTAAAAATATCTGGGTTCTGACAAAAAAAAAATGTTGGTGAGAATGTAGACAGAGGGAAGCCTTATCTACCTACTGCTGGTAGAAATATAAACCAATTCCCTCACTATGGAAACCAGTGTGTGTGTGTGTGTGGGGGGGGTCCCTCAGTAAACTAAAAACTGGCTTACCTTGATAGTAGACATCTTTAATCCCAGCACTCCTAGAGGCAGAGGCAGGTGGATCTCTTGAGTTCCAGGCCAGCAAAGTCTTTATAGTAAGACAAAAATAAAGAACAAAACTGTGGTAATGAAATATTCCAAAAATTATCTCTTGTATTCTAAGAGACTACTGTTTGCTGGATCACACACCCAGAATTAATAATAAAACACCTTGATGTCACATAAGTCATGACAGCTAGCCAACTGTGTATTCAAACTGTTTAGTCTGCCTTTAGCTGAACAATCATCCTTACCTGCCTTGGATCTCTCATGTAATTATCGTTTACATCTAAGCGAATGCTCAGCACAGCTACAGTCTTTCTGTTTTGTCATTCTTTGTTTTTTCGAGACAGGATTTCTCTGTGTAGCCTTGGCTGCCCTGGAACTGACTCTGTAGACCAGAATGGACTAGAACTGAGAAATTTGCCTGCCTCTGCCTCCCAGAGTGCTAGGATTAAAGGCGTGTGCCATCACTGTCCAGTTTGTAGCTGTAATCTTAAATCTTCCATGCCTCTGGTCCAGAACAATGCATGTGTATCATTTGCTGAAAGCAGCAAACACAGAGATTGAAAGCAACTTCCTAAAATCTACTACCAAGGTTGAAAGCAACATTTATGAATATTGGTTGATAAACAATATTTATAATACTGTTTGTTGTGTGATAGTTTGGAGCCAGTGGCTTAATCCCTTATAAAACTCTGTTAAAGATTTACATAACGTATCCCATTCTTTCTCATGTGCTGTTCAATAGACAGAGTGAAGCCCTTCGTTTGACAGACACACAGACAGAAGACACCCTGCAGACAGACACAGATTCAGATCATACAACAAAGGACTGAAGAAACAGGGAACACGAAGTAGAGAATTCAAACCGGGGCTCGTTCTTAGTTAAATGATACCAAGGGGAAGAACTTTTATTTCTTTCCTTAAAGCAAAATCCTTGCATTATTGCTGACTCAGAGTTAGTTACTGTTTAACCCATGAATAAAATCTGTAAAAACAAAAAATGAAAGTAGATCTGCTAAATAACCCTGTTATACAACTGGGTATCTGACAGACAGACTTTCAGCCAGACTCTTCACAATAGCTAAGCTAGGGACTGCAATGGAGGGATGGATGAAGAAACTGTGCCATATACACAGTGAGTCTTCAGCTGTAAAGGAATTATGTCGAATTACAAGAAACTGGAGATAACTAACCACAGATGTGGCTCCTAGATTTTATACATACATGGGCAAAATCACATATGCATAAATGACATGAAATTGCATGGGGGAATAAAGGCGCTAATGGGAGGTGGAGAGGCAGACATGTATCTGTAGAAAAATATCTTTATGTACCACAGTACCACGTACAATGATTATACACAATAAAATAAAGTGTTTGAATTTTAAAATATCTAAAAACACACTTTTTTTTTTTAAAAAAAGTGCAAATGGGATGATGATGAAGCTCAATAATGTTGGTGATTTCTCCCAAACCACAGTCAAGGAACCCTGAAAAGACACCTGCTTAATTACCTGAGGAATGAATCAAAAGTGTAATGAACTTGGATGTGACGATACACACATGTAATCTCAACATTCAGAAGACTAAGGCAAGAGAAGCCTGAGACCATACTGGTATATATCAGCCAGGATGAGCTGCATAACAGGTCCCTATCTCAAAAACAAACACCCTAAATATTTGTACAGACAAATATTGGAACCTACAAAAAATACTACTTGCAAATTATTACAATAATCCCTTGGAAACGTCAGGGTTTAATTTTGAAACAGTGACATTATACCCCTGAGACTTGGGGCTATATGTTATATGCAGTTTTAGCTTAAATCTATTCTGTTATTTGAAATAAAAGCATGTTTCCTGTACATTGCCACAGAGAAGTATATTTCTAAGTATGAATCTAAACACAGCCATGGATGTGCCAACTTCTTGTCAAGAGTCAGGACTCTTCCCTGCATTCAACAAAGACCTACTGCACCTTCTCCTCGCTGAAATCTGCCCCGTCCTACCCGCACCACTCCAAGGCAAGATTCACTGTCCAACAAAGAAGCATCAAGATTAAAAATCATGCCATTAAGAAGAATATTTGCCAACCCTAGTTTAATTCAAGGTACTTGGAAGTTCAATCAATATTGTACTATTAACTTCCCTACTGAGTAAGCTAAAAGTACTTCAAAATAAGGGGGTGGGGGTGCTAAAGAGATGGCCTGTCAGTCAGGAACACGTGCTGCTCTTGAAGAGGACAAGAGTTTGGTACCTAGCACCCACATCAAGTATCTCACAATTGCCTGAAACTCTAGCTCCAGGGGGCCCAATCCCCTCTTCTGGCCTTCACGGGCATCTGCATACACATGGCAGATAGCACATGCATGTGTAAATGTTTTATATAAAAGAGGGACTTATTGTGGGATATTTTGATGGCACTCTAACACTCCCAATAAAGTTATAGCTCAAATCCCAACAAAGAAGTTATAGCTAGAATCAAGGGGTAGGGCCAGTGACTAGCTGACCAAAATTGGCCGTAGAGAATCCAGGTAGAGGCAGGAGTCTGAGCTTCCTTTTGGTTCTGGGCTGAGGGAAGAGACATATTTTTTTGTGGTGTCTCTGGCCAAAAAGTAAGACCAACTAGTTGCTGCTCAGCCTCTCTGAGCTAGCAGGCTTTTAACTCCAGCCTTTGACTGCCGAGCCTTATTGGTAAATAGAATGATAGAATTAAATTAAATTAAATTAATTTTATTGTATTAATTTAAATGTGTAGGTTAATTAAACCTAATCACTGAAGCCACAACAGAGCCAGGACTATTGGACTGAAAGCCCCACCAAGCCACGGCTGACTGAGGGACTGTGGTGGTGTAGACAATAATTAAAACATTAGTAAATTCACGTGCAGCCACTAAGCTGACGGAAAAACATCAGTGATTGGCTAGAAAATGAAGTCATTTTATCATTTCAAATTGGTGAAAACAGTTGCTGCAACACAAATTCTTCTCATTAACTCCAGCGAGAAGAAAGCTGCATAGCAAATACATCCTTCCTCCTTCGGGAAAAGCAAACATTCATTTTGCAAGTAAAACTAAACACCAGAGTGTTTAATAGATGTATGCACACCATCTCCCTACACACGCCCATCTAAACATGCCATCTGTCTGCCATGCCGTGAGTCACAGTAAGCCAAGTGGTGGCAAGGCCACTGTGCACACCCCGGAGCATCATCTCCAGTGGGCAGCATGCGTGCACCTAAGCATGTGCTATGAAAGAGCTCAAAAGTATGAGGCCCTAGATACTGCTAAGAAAGAAAAAAAGACAAAATAGACCAAAAGGAGACGTAATTGTAATTCTCTAAGAATAATATTATAATTTTAAAATTTGTTATGGGAGATGTTGTATTAAGTGTTTGTACACACAGA